TATATAGTAGAAAAACTTGTCAGCCTGGACAGCATAGCAAGACCCCATCTCTACAAAATTTTAATTTTTAACTAATTATAAAATTAGTTGGGTGTGGTAGTACATGCCTGTACTTCTAGCTACTCTGGGGGCTAAGGCCAAAGGATCACTTGAAACCAGGAGTTCAATACCAGCCTGGGCGGCATAGCAAGAGACGGTCTTTACCAAAAAATAAAAAATAAGGTCCACGCATGGCGGCTCACAACTGAAATCCCAGCATTTTGGGAGGCTGAGATGAGAGGATTGCTTGAGCTCAGGAGTTCCACACCAGCTGGGAAAATACTGATGAAACCCTGTCTCTACAAAAAAAACCCACAAAAACTAGCTAGGCATGGTGGTACACACCTGTAGTAACAGCTACTCAGGAGGCTGAGGTGGGAGGATTGCTTGAGCCCAGGAGATAGAGACTGTAGTGTGCTGAGATCGTACCACTGCACTCTAGCCTGGGACAGGATCATCAATATCACTGTTTTCCACTTCCATATGTTGTTCCACTGGAAGGTCTTCAGGGGTAATAACATACATGGAGCTGTCACCTCCTATAATAACAGTGCCTTCTTCTGGTATACCTTGTGAAAGGCCTGCCTGGGCCTGTTTTACGGTTAACTTTTTACAAATAAGTAGAAATAAGTCTAAAGTCTGCTACAATAATGATAAAAGTATAGTAAGTACATAAGCCAGCAAACATAGTCATTTATTATCAAGTATTATGCACTACAGATCACTATATGTACTTAATTTTCTAAGTGGTGATGCTGGTATAAACAAATCTACTGACAGCACAATAAGTTTTTTTACACCAGCATGACCACAAGCACGTAAGTAACCCATGCGCTAAAATGTTACAACGCCTATGATGTCACTAGGCCATAGGAATTTTTCAGCTTCATTATAATCTAATTTTTTTTTGAGACACAGTCTCGCTCTGTTGCCCAGGCTGGAGTGCAATGGTGTGATCTCAGCTCACTGCAACCTCCACCTCCCAAGTTCAAGCAATTCTCCTGCCTCAGTCCCCTGAATAGCTGAGATTACAGGCATGAGTCACCACCATGCCTGGTTAACTTTTTTCTTTTCTTTTTTTTTTGAGATGGAGTCTCACTTTGTCACCCAGGCTGGAGTGCAGTGGCATGATCTCAGCTCACTGCAACCTCTGCCTCCCAGGTTCAGCGATTCTCCTGCCTTAGCCTCCTGAGTAGCTGGGATTACAGGCGTGCACCACCATGCCCAGCTAATTTTTGTACTTTTAGTAGAGATGGGGTTTCACTATGTTGGTCAGGCTGGTCTCGAACTCCTGACCTCGTGATCCACCCACCTCAGCCTCCCAAAGTGCTGGGATTACAGGCGTGAGCCACTGTGCCCAGCTACACCCAGCTAATTTTTGTATTTTAGTAGAGACAGGGTTTCACCATGTTGGCCAGGCTGGTCTCGAACTCCCGATCTCAAGTGATCCACCCACCTTGGCCTCCCAAAGTGCTGGGATTACAGGTGTGAGCCACCACACCCAGCTGGCTCCATTATAATCCTATGAGACTAACATCATATATGTGGTCCATTGTTGACTGAAATGTCATTAAGTAACACATAGCTGTAGTTTCAATAGCGTTGTCCCATTATAATCAAATACAAGACAAAAATATTCACTATCGCATCTACAATGGAACTTTTTTTAATCCAATATAATAAGCAAAAGGAAAAAATGAACATTAGAAGGAGAGGAACAGAATTATTTTTACATGGTGATCATGTGGTCAGCTACCACAACAATGTGAGAATCAACTAAAAAATGAATAAAACTAATAATAGAGTAAGGTAGCTTTATACCAGATTGCAATAACTAATTAGAAAATGACATGTAGGCTGGGAGTGCTGGCTCACAGCTATAATCCTAACACTTTGGGAAGCTAAGGCAGGTGGATTACCTGAGGTCAGGAGTTCGAGACCAGCCTGGCCAACATGGTGAAATTCCATCTCTACTAAAAATACAAAAATTAGCTGGGTGTGGTGGCACGTGCCTGTAATCCCAGCTACCCAGGAGGATGAGGCAGGAGAATCACTTGAATGTGGGAGGTGGAGGCTGTAGTGAGCCGAGACCATGCCACTGCACTCCAGCCTGGACAACAGAGTAAGACTCTGTCTCAAAAAAAAAAAAGTCAGAAAAAATTAAAAAAATTCTTTTTTTAAATCATGAAAAAATCCCATTCATAATAGAAAGCTGGCCGTGCATGATGGCTCATGCCTATAAGCCCAACACTTTGGGAGGCTGAGGTGGGAGGATAGCTTGAGCCCCAGAGTTCAAGACCAGCTAGAGCAACATAGTGAGACCCTGACTCTACGGAATTTTAAAAATTAGCTAGGCGTGGTGACTCATGCCTATAGTCCCAGCTACTTAGGAGGCTGAGGTGGAAGGATTGCTTGAGCCCAGGATGTCAAGGCTGTAGGGAACTGTGATTGCACCACTGCACTCCAGCCCTGGTGACAGAGCGAGACTCTATCTTAAAAACAAACAAACAAAAAAAAAGCTTCTACTTATTTGATAAAAAAAAAAAAAAGGAGAGATGGTATGCACACACATACGTGTGCACACACATGGACTCATGCTTGTATAGTCACAGAATATCTCTGGTAGTCCACACAAGAAACTGCTCAGAGTGGTGACATCTGAACAACCAGGAGTCAGGAGTAAGAAACTCATTTTCACCCTATATTTGTTTGTATTATTTGAATTTTCTCTCTCTCTCTTTCTTTACTGTTTTACAGAAGGGGTCTCACTCTATCACCAAGGCTGGAGTGCAGTGGCATAATCATAGCTCACTGCAGCCTTGAACTCCTAGACTCACGTGATCTTCCCAACTCACCCTCCTGAGTAGCTAGGATTACAAGCATGAGCCATTGTGTCTGGTTTATTCGAATTTTTTCTACCATATGCACATGCTGACTTTTTTTTTTT